CTGAAACACAGACAAGGTATAAGGCCCTGGACATGCAACAGAGAAGAACAAAAGTAGTTAGATAGATGACATCAAATGTAATCAAAACAAACCAGCTTTATGATGAAAATATTTGAGAGCTTTGGTATCATTTTTATAATGTAGCCGTGGCTGACAATGGCCTTTTCCTACCCGGTAGCCATTCTGGTCTTTCTTTTTGTCCCTGCCAATATAACCTTTGGTCTTAAGATATCCCTTAAATGTGAGGGTGATCTGGCTGCGACCTCTGTCACCCCATTGATCACCAGGGTTGATTGGCTGATCTGGATGGCTAGACAGGTGTCCCCTTTCCTGCCCCATGGATCCATGTACATCCTTCCTGGAGCTGTAAGCTCAGTGGAAGAGGATGGCCTTCCCCAATAGGGGAGGGCCCTTTTTCAGTCGAGGGTATATGAGAAGCTGTTCTGCCCTGCTAGACCCTCCAAACAAGCTCTCAAGGTCCATTCCTAGAAGAAAGTAGGCTAGTCAAGCTTCCAAGACTCAAGACACATCCAAATGAGGTGCTGCAGGTAGCGGTCTGCCTTTCTTAAAAAAAAAAGATATCCTTTGACCTCAGGAAGGATAGGATAAGGTCTCTAATTCAGTTCCAGAAAATAATTTGTGATCCATTTAAAGTGGTCTCTCTTCCTTGACCAGTAACTGTCATGAAGATGTGCAAATGACCCAGTTCTACCCAAAGGAGATGTTTATGGAAGTCAGCTTGAGGGGTGCAGTGAAATATGACTATGTGAGTGAAGACCGAACTTCAGCGAAGAGAAAATAACTTCTTTCTGAGTCTGCTGCCTTCATGGCATAGTTGTAGGTGCAGCAACATTTTGTGACTCTAAGGGAACAGCCCAGATAATCAAGTGATTTCAACCCTGACATCACTTGAACTAATGAGCTAAGGCCACCAACCTCCTACTCCTGAACTTCATTGTAGGCTAAAAGCTAATCAGTATTTGTTGAAGCTACTGTATTTAGATATCCTGATACATGTCATGACAAACATTTCTAACAGGTATTACAGCATGGGCATTATCTTTCTAGGACAACTACATTGGGTAGTGATCAGGGAAACTTCTGGTCTGTTCCTCATTGCAGTGCACTGAGTCTGTATTGTATTAGTGTTCCCTGGTAGGATCAGGACAAAAACTGAAGTTTTTATGATTTCCTATCAGGTAAGCTTATAAGGTCAGAACCTGAGTATGTAGCTGGTCAAAACCGTGCCATTTGCCATTTGGGTGTTAAAGACGCAAAGCAGGTGGTTTTTACAAAACAAATGTATGTATGAGGGTCTTCTTCTGATTCTTCCTACCTGAGAAGCTTACTTATTCACCTATGACACTAATCTGTAACAGAGCTGAGTGGTAAAAGATAACATTATTTGAATATACAATCAGGCTATAATTAACCAGAGATGACAATTATAAATAACACTGCGTCCCAGAGTTTCCAAGAAACCTGACATACGCAGTTCTTGGGTATGTTGAAACACTTCCAAGAAAAGTAAAGAAATGAAAAATCTTTTAGAAGTCTTCAATTAAAATGTGTTTCAGTACGAATGACTTTCATTATGTGTTTTGGTACATACGACTGGAAAACATTTGTCCCTATCTTCACACCTCTAATTGTTTTCACTGCCCAATTACAGCTTTTCAGAATTAAGACATTCTAGTCGAGACAAGCATGTTGGTCATTTGAAATGTGAAGACAAGTTAATGTGTATAGGGCTTGTGTACTCAAGAAAACAGATCTCTGCTACAGGTTTCCAATTATCTGCATCTTGGGTCCTGCTATCTCCTTTTAGACTGACGGAAGGCATCTGGCTGAATTACTTTTCCTTCCCCCTTTCCTTTCTCCCAGCTCCTTTCTATCTTTCTCTCTCCTTCATCTTCCCCACTTCTTACATTTATTTCACATACTTTTAGGGTCTAGGAAGTTGGGAGCATGGTTTAAAGAGAGAAAAAATGTCGTCCTTTTGGGAGCGATAGTGCAAATTATAAGAGGAATTTATACATACTGTGTTTCTGTCTTTCGTTAGGGATTGTGAAGCAAAATTTCAAACCAACTACTGATCTAACTATGCTTTGGCCATGGATAAAGTTGGGCGATTATAGAAATCGATTAAAAAGGTAGGTATTAAAAAAACGATGAGGCAATATGTCTAGTGATGCTGCTTTATGTGGAAAAACAAGCAGCTACCTCTGTCGAGTCAGGTATATAACTGATCTGACATGCTCAGCAGTATGGGGTCTTAATTCAGTTCCTATAGGAATTCACACACATAAATATGCCATGATTAACAAACTCATAATTTGATCTAAACTGTAAGCTCTATAAAGGCAGAGGACATATTTTCTTGTTCAATACAGTGCCTCAAGTACACAGCACTGTTCCTAATACACAGGGGTGCTAATGTTGAATAATGACTAATTAAAAGATTTAAATTGACATTATTTCATTCCCATGAGTTGCAAGACATAGATTGATCATTAATTTGGTAGAAATGCTGGCTAAGCTATTTCAACAGGAAAAGGCAACCACAGTAATTCCTGCTTCTAAGAGAGATTCAATCTCAAGTGTCAAGGGTAACACAGGGATGAACTAATTTGAATTCTCCTGCTGAAAAGGTTTACTTACGCATTACAAGAGTTTGCCAGACTATGACAATAATGGGTTTTTACATTTTTATGTTTTACAATTACAATGATACAATTTCATTTTTTAAGATTTTCACTTAAAAACCCATAAAAATGTAAGACCATAGTTGAAGATGTAACTCAACTGCGGAAAGGGCATGGTGAAGAGATCTGGGGGCACCAACTTCTTGAGAATGGAGACATCTTAATTGGCCAACAGATTCTGGCAGGTATTACTTCAGAAATAGATTTTTTTTAAAAAACAGTTACTATAATTCTACAAAAGAGAAAGGAAAATTGAAAGGAGTAGTTTTCAACAGAGGCAACTCTCACTCCTGCAACTCAAATAGGAGGTGCTAATCAGAGAAATAAAATGAAGCCTGATTGTGGAGGTGGAACAAGAAGTGGAAATAAGGTCCCTAACAATGGACAACTATGGAATAAAATGAATGCAGATGGTTCCACTCCTGTTACTTAATCAAAAGGCTGAGCAGAGTCACTGGAGCCTGCATGAAGTCATGTGTTAGAACAACAGCTGATCTGTATTAGAGAAGATTAACTTGCAGTGCCATGGTGGAGGGCCCAGGATTATTTTATGTACTCCCATTGCCTTACAAGCCGTCAGCACAATTATTGCCCTCCGATGTGAATGACTGATCTGTAACCACAGCTAAACAGCATGCTGCTTAGGGGCCTAGGAGCTTCATGAAGATGAATTTCCATACCATCAAAGCGCTTTTAATGGGCTCCCTGATCCAACCACAAGGCCTGTTTTGTAAGTATATAGAACTCAGGATGAAGGCCTCCTGTCCAAAAGGATTTGGTCGGTTGTCACTTGACAATTCCCAGCCAGCACAGGGGAGGAGAGGGGGGGAGATAGGTAGAGTTGTCTCTGCTTTGGAGGATTAAAAAAAAAAAAAGGGTACAGATGCTTGCTGAATGCAACCAACTGCTGTATCCACAGCTGAATTCAATGCGCTTAACAAATAATGGCAATTTAGCTATGCTTGCGAGGAATAGCTTGAGTCACTTTGCATTAGCATCTGGCTGAGTGTTAAACTCATTTCTACATGGGGAGCAGAGAAAAGGAATTTCTGTTCAAGCATCCTTTCAAGAACGTTTAAATATTTGAATATAAATTCCTCTATGCTTGCTATCATTCCTTCTTAGAGCTGTCACTTTGCTGTTCCCCTTCCCTTCTGGTGCTTAGCTAGAAAATGTTCGTGCCCTTCGAGCTGCACCAGTGTTGCTCTTCTTATGTTGTGAGACTGCAAGGGATGTACACTTGACCATGCTTTGCTCTCCCCTCCAGGAACAGAACAGAACTGAAATCGTTTCTCCATCCTTTTGATCCATGTTTGGACCAGAGGAAAAGTACAGTTGTGGCAAGGTCACACCTTCACTATGCAAATTGCTAGCTTCTTAGAGATTATGTGTAAAATTCCATATAAAACCTGGGAAACCAGAGCTATCCAAATTAGCAATCTGTTCATTCTGGATGACACTGTTTGACTCATAACCTTCCCATGATGATTAACTTTCAAGTTATTACTAAGTAGCTGATCATTTTTTCTCTTATCTACTATATCTATTTAGCTACAGGATTTTGAGAAAAGGGGATACAGTAACTTTAAAATTTCAATTAAAAATACCAAATATGACCAAAAGAAGTATATCACTCCAAGCATTCTATAATAACGTAATATTTTTCTGAATAAAATACAATGTAGCTTAGACAAAATAGTTTGAAATTATTATAGCTCAGATAAATCCAGAAGTTTCACTGGACTTAAGCATAATAATAGGTATAATAATAATGTCCACAATTTAAACAGCAAACTTTGTTTTATGATCAAGTCAAAACTTCCAATTGCGCAGTCACCTAAAACTTGACGGTGCTTTGCATTGGAAACATTATGACAAGCTCAGGATCTTAGATGCTGAGACTGCAAGCATGGGTATCATCCAAGCTTATGCTGATTAAAGAAGATTCGGCATTTTCAGATCCAGCTCATCCCCAAATACAAGTTGAGCATCTCTGTAAAGCAAAACTTTCACTGAGGCTCAGGTATTTCAAATGCCACTTCATTTTAATACAAAGTGATGGCAGAAAAGGGGATATTAATTGTCAATAAGGTTCAGATGGATAGCAGAGAATTATAACGCTTTTCATTTCCAGATGGTTTTGATTAGGATGGGCATGAAGAGTTCTGCACTGATGGAGGGATAAAGGGTGGGAGAACTGTCATTCCAAGGATGGTGAGAAGAGAAAAAGATAAAGAAGAAAAACAGTCAGGCAATTTAAGTACTTTTGGAAAGTCAGTTATTTTAGGAACTAACCTTTTCTGCTCGGCAGTTATTGAGACCTAGACTATTCACAACAGCCACCTTCCCATCAAGCACCTGTTGTTCCCGCCGAAGCTGCTCCTTCATCTGCCGAGCTTCTTGGATTGCCTTGGTGACAACATCATGGTCATTTAAATAACCTGAAGATGTAACAGAACGAAGGATATGTTTTGTACAAGTGCATGGATAGGTTAACCTTTCACCATAAAAATCACGTCTTTTTTGGGAATGGCTAGTGTCTGGCATGTACTAATTTCTCAATGGAATCAGTCTAAAAATGAATGAATGAATGAATGAATAATTGATGATGACTGATTCACACAGTTACATCAACATGGTGCCAAACATTTGTTATCAAAATGTAATATTTAAGTGAAATACAGCTGTTTCCACATGTTTGAAAAGAAGTTTAAAATATAATTTTTAGATAAACTTTTTTAGTTATCTGAATGTTTTGTAGTGCAAAAATACAACCTGTCTTTGGTTTTTTTCCTATAAGGATCATTTGAATGTTACCATAGGATAAAGGTATTGATAATTATTACTATTAATTACTGACACTCTCATAGTATTAGAAAGGCCAATTTAGAGTTTGAGTATGGCACTATTAGGTTTGTTATATACAGAAGGAACAAATCATTGTTAACTGACTGAAAGAAGAGCATTTCCCCCCTGCATCCAACCATGGTGAAATAAACCACAGTTGGCAATGTCTTGTTACAGATACAAACTTGCAATAGTTAAGAGGCTAAATTTCAAGCACAGAATGTAACAAAGCACCTGTAATTGCTGAATAATAAATTGTGGCTACTGGGTAACTATAATCACACTTAATTCACACTCTTAATGGGATGGTCAAGTGACCAACTTGTGGCGCAACTCCACAATCCAGAGTTAGGGGGAAAAAAAAAAAGAAAGCTAAAATATTTCTTTTAAAAAATAACAGGTGTAAGGAGAAAAGCTAATTTTAACTCTGGTCATTTATTTATTTGATGCACATTATACTGATAATCTGCATGATTTTAGGGTAGAAGAGCGATGGGAAGGGATTGTTTTGCAAATATTGAAAGGAAAGCTAATATATCATCTTTCACTCTCCCTATCTTTTAACTAGGGCATAAAATGGCATAAACTGAATCTATAATATGAAATTGCCCAGAAACGGGACTTGTTTGTGACATGAGGCTAAATCTAACCAGATCCATTGGTGAATTGTGACAGATGGAGGGACTGTGAGACAGAAGGCAGGCACTAATCACACATAAAATGACCGGCTTGCCTCAACATGTTCCGTGGATTCCAGCAAACTTTACACCCTAATCCATTTTTAGAACAAAAAACATCTGGGCCATAAATCCTCTAATCTGCCAAAACACGCTATTAAATCCCATGATTTGTTGAAAAACACTAAGATTAAAGAAAGGAAATATAAAATGGCTAACTGCCGTGTTAGGAAAGTGTTATTAATACTCTTTCTTTGTCTCAATTATGAATGTTCTGGTACTAAAGAGCCTTGTCTAATCATGTCAGATTACACGACCTCGTCGCATTGCTAGACTCTTCTATCTGATCTGCCAATTGCCAAAAAACCTAGAATACTTTCTTGCTGCTTAAACATTTCTATTGAAGAAGCTGATGTCAGATTAGCGCAGTGCTTCAGAGCTGGAAGGCTTCTAAATGATCCGTGTCCTTCCCCCCTTCCTATGCACAGACTGAACATCCTCCTCTGATCTCCTTAATGCAGAAAGAGAAGTTCCAGGGTCGGCGATGGAAAGGGGAGCCTTGAGAGCTACTATATATTTTGCTTTTCTGAGCTAAATTCATTGGAATGTATTCAAAAGAAAACATCCTTGCTCATTATAAATACAATATGAATCATAAACAACTATTTAGATCTAGGTCAGCCCTTTAGGGTTAATATGTACTTAAAATTACGGTCGTTTTGAACCTTATATTATCCTCAACATCTGGACTTGGTTCTCCTGCACAACCTTCTTAATATATTATTCTTGAGCTCATTCTGTTCACGAACACTACCACTCTGGAAAAAAATGCAGCTCTTAAATGACAGGGATGGTCTTGGTATGTGTTCCTTTAGTAAAAGATCTTAAGAGGATCAGCCTGCTTTTCCTATCCTCTAACCCCTGTTTATGTACAACCTGGTTCCACGTGTTTTTGTAGTCTATTTAGCTTCTCCAGAGCACAAATATATTTGAAATGACTTGGCACATGACACTGAATAAAAGGATGAAATCTTTATGCTTTTTAGGCACTGTCAAGATAACACTGTGTAGGAAAAATCATTAATATAGATGCAGAAAGGATGCATCTATTACTACGAGAGTGAATAACTGACAGACATACATATGTTCTGTAATGGCTATTTCCAATGTGAGACGTGTGTTTGTGTGCAGGTGGATATAGGTGCTCACTTTAAAAGAAACATTCTTGCTTTCAGAGACTTGAATTTTAGTTAAAATGCTATATGAAATTCTAACATTGTATCTGCTGTGTTAAATCATAAAGCCGTTCACATATTACAGAGTTGAATCATAACAGGATTGTTTGCTGGTTCTTTACACTTTGTTCTCATCACAGTCACCAACTTCCCAGTCATGCTGATTCCCTCTCTCAGTAAATGGCCTCACCTCCAATTCTGGAAAGACCAATAAGGCTGAACTCTCACCTTCCTTCCCCACCCTGACTCCTACCCCAGGCTAGCTTCAAATCCATCTCCACGTATGCCCACTGCCACCTCCTGTTTCAATGAAAATGGCACTGCTACTTTTATTCAAGGCAAATCCCCCAAATTTATGCTCTAGATTTCTATACCTCTCTATTGATTATTCTCTTTCACATTTACATCATCCACTTGAACTTCTCTACTATCATTACCACCTCAACTTGTAAGTACTTAAGATTCTCCTCCTGAAACAAGCAAATAAAGTCTCTTAACTTTGTGTTGCCCTCTCGTTCCAATCCTGTTTCTTTACCTTCCAAGCCAAGCTTCTCGAAGATTCATATCATACTCTCCCATTCCTTCCTCACCCTCCCATTCCTGCTACAGTCTTGTTTCCGCTCCCCTTGCTCTTTCAAATGCCAAACCCAAGGGACACTTTCCAGTCCTGGCAGAAACAGCACTGACAATCCCTTTGTTACGGACACTCCTTCCTTCCTTGCTTCTCATCATAGCACTGGATCCTCATCTCTGACTTCTCCATCTTCATATCCTTGCCTGGGATCTTACTTCATTTGCTCCTTAGATTTGGTCCAAGGTTTCCATCACCCGAAAATAATTTGTGCTTTGGAGTTGGATAAGCCTAAACTAAAATCCTAGCATTGCTACTTACTAGCTATATAAATTGTACATATTGTTTTACCTTTCTAAATCTCACTGGTCTTATTGGTTAAATGGAATAACCTCACTAGATAAACCTGACATTGCGAAGATTAAATGAGTTAATATAGTCTCTTAGCATAATAAATGGTCCATGAAAGTCATTCAGTAACTGTCAGTTTACAAAATGGCATAGTGAAATAGGTAGAATTTGGGCATTGGATTCAGATGGATCCAGGTTTCTGCTTCTTAGGAAGTGTGATATTTGCCAAATTATAACACTTAATTTCACTGAGTTTCCATTTCTTTCAACTGTAAAATGAACATAAGGCTGATGGAAGAATTCAATGAAATAACACATGTGAAGGAGTAGATAACACTTCGTATACCTGAGGAGGCAGTAAAAAATGTTAATTCTTTTCTCTTTTTTCCTCTTTCATTTTCCCTATATGCTCATCCTCAGCAGTCCTGTTGCACGGCCTTGACCATTATGATAAAATCTGTGAGGGGGGCTTCCCTGGTGGCGCCGTGGTTGAGAGTCCGCCTGCCGATGCAGGGGACGCGGGTTCGTGCCCCGGTCCGGGAGGATCCCACATGCCGCGGAGCGGCTGGGCCCGTGAGCCATGGCCGCTGAGCCTGCGCGTCGGAAGCCTGTGCTCCACAACGGGAGAGGCCACGACAGTGAGAGCCCGCGTACCGAAAAAAAAAAAAAAAAAAAAAATCTGTGAGGGGATATCATTTCTTATTGGCACAGTGGTTCAGTGAAATGGGAGTCACCTATTAGAGTTCAAAGGACCCCAAATGATCACTTGCTACATTTTATTCTGCCTTCATTATATATTCAGGCAGCAAGGACATCTTATGATCAGAAGGAAGTGTTCAGGAGAGGTTTGGTGAGCTTCTTAGAGGGAAAATGGGAGGGCAAAGGCCAATATGGCTTCCAGTTAGTGCCTCAAATGAGATTTGGGAAATGCAGGTTAGGGATCATTAATGTAAGAAATATATGAGAGTCTGTGACTGTGTTCAATTTACCACAATTTGATTTTTTTTTATACGTTGGTGTTTCTTCTTAACCATAACCAACAAAATTCTCAAAATTAAAATGGTCCCCGTTATATATTTTCAGGGGCAGAAAAAGATGGACAAACTGGAAAGTCCAATCTTAGAGGGGATAAAATCTAAACAGAAAGAGTGAGTAAACGGCTGCTCCACAAGGGAAGAGCCTGTTAAAAGGCAGAAGGAAAAACAGTAAACTCCTTGTAATGGGTTGAATTGTGTCTCTCAAAAAGATATGTGTGTGCCCTAAGCCCTGGTATCCGTGAACGTGTCCTTATTTGGAAACTGAGTCGTTGTAGATGTTTAAATTAAGGATCTTGAAATGAGATCACGCTGGATTTACAGTGGGCCTTAAATTCAATGATTCGTGTTCTTCTAAGAGAAAGGAGATTTGACACATAGACACAGGGGAGAAGGCCACGTGAGCATGGAGGCAGACACTGGAGTTGTAAGCCAAGGAACACCAAGGATTGCCAGTAGCCTCTAGGAGCTGGGAGAGAGGAACGGAACAGATTCTCCCTCAGAGCCTCCAGAAGGAACTAACCCTGCTGACACTCTGACTCTGGATTTCTTTCTAGCTTCCAAATAGTAACAGAATAAATTTGCTTTAAGTGACCCAGTTTATAGTAATTTGTTGTGGCGGCCTTCCAAACCAACATATGGCAATTGGTCTTAAGGATGCTCCTAACACTCAAGGGGTGATCCCAAGGACTGTAGAATACCTACCGCCTGCTTCAAACCCTTTCT